CCCCAAAAAAAAAAAGACATCTTTACCAAAGGAGACTTTAATGGCCACTTTAGATAAAAAACTTACCAGAGACTGTGTCCCTCAGGCTGAAACTTTACTACTGAAGATTCAAGGAAATTCAGTTAAAAAATAAAATACAGCTAAACACCCAGAGAGATTTTGAAGTATCCTCCGAAGCTACTTCAATGCTTTTGCAAGTTTTACTTCATATTAATTAAAAAACACAAACAAGCTATACTTTGGTGATTTTTTCAGACCTATTTACATATCATTCACAATGATGGCATACTACCTTCTTCTCCACACTGTGTTACTTTTAGAAGTTCATACCAGCATGTCTTCAATCCCATTTGTACCCGTCCAGCCAGGAGGTTCAGCCAGCTCACTGCACTCATACCATGTCTCAAAGGATCAGAACTGGGTGGTCTGAACATCTGGGACCCAGGGCAGTAACTTGTGCTATTCAGCAAACAGTTATTTCACTCTGGCACAGCTCGCTGTTTTATCTTTGATGTCCACCAGGCGGCACAGGGTCCAGACAGATTTACAAACAGGTAACGGCTCAATGCACTAGAAAGGTGATTTCTGGTTTTCTGGATGGTACCAACAACTCAGAGCTATTCTTTTCTTTTTCTGTCCTCAGGGTACACACTGCAAGTTTTAAGGCTGTCTAGCTAAGTGATGCTTAGTTGTATCAAAAGAGTTTCATCACTGTATTACAACAGACCGCAGAAATGCATATAAGATGCCAGCACTGCCAAGGCAGATGCAGTGTGTAGCAACAGAAAGTATCTGCACTATAAAAATCACCATCCAAACAATGACTATCCTCACTTAAGTGATAAGGAATTTAAATTTATAGAGCAATACCACTGAGACTTCAGGCAAATCAGATCTACACCATCATCTTCAGTATCATTGTGACAGGCATTAGTGGGCAAGTCCTGATCCAAAGCCCATTGCTGCAAAGCAACTCACACTCATCTTCTCTTTTGAGCCTGGCTCCTCATCAAACTCTCACCTGTTTTGTACCTGGATTTCCTCATCGAGGGGAGAGGCTTGCTCATTCCGAATTATAACCCATGAGCAAATCTCCTGCAGGCTGTGAGGTGTTACAGAGCACAGGGACATGGCAGCTGCCCAAAACAGGAGCAGAAACGTCACTGAAGGATGCTACAACCAGCTATGCTGAAGAATTCAGAGGGTGAATTTAATTGATTAGAATGAATTGATTAACCGTGGCTCTTTAGCACAATATTTTGCTGTGTGTTAATACTTCACTCAACAAGGATGAAACATACCCAAAACAATGACGTCAAAGAGAGCCATGGAAGAGTTAAGAAGTCAATGCCACATCCCCTGTGAAAGAGCAGATCTCCAACATCACCCTGACTTGCAGGTATTTTAGAAGCGCTACCGCCACTATGTTCTCTACAAGGATTTTAGAGTTCCTGAAAGAAACTTAATAAGCTGTCCCAGTAATTAGAGAGAGAACGGTTCCTAGGTCTGATAGAACTGGTGTTTTAGAGGATTTTAAAATGAACTGAAGCGCTGTCACCTCCCACATTGCAGACGGGAAACAAGACACAGAGGTAGATGTCTCAGATAATGATTCCTCCTTTCCATCATTAACATTCACATTTAACAGGGAAACTGAGGCACGGAGGCAGTACCAGTTCGTGGTGAGTGCACTGGTTTGGGGGCTATGCGGACTTTAGCCGGTCGGCGGGCCGTAAGCAAACCACATGCTACGCGGCTTTGGCAGGAGGCCGCCGCGCAGCGACTTCCTACGACGGGCCGACGAGGTGCTGTTTTAACACAAAAGTACGCGCCAACAGTACAACTGCTTTTATGTGAAGGAAGAAAGCCATAAATATTCCAGTCTGCTTAATAAATAAATAAATAAATGAATGAATGAATGAAGCATATTAAACCCTTTCACATACCTTGCGAGCGCAGCCATTTCTGCGCAAGAAACGGTCGGGAGCTGAAGAATTTCTGCCAAAAGCAGCTGCAAGGGAGCATGGTTTCTTGCATGCAGATGGGGCGGGAGACAGCACCGGGTACAACATCTGTGTGACACACAGAGAGCCCCCG